TATATATAAATAATACCCTATGCTTGAAAGAACACATCTACAGTTTGTAAAAAGGTACTGGTGATAGAATATTATGTGGTTAATTTCTCTAATCAAATCAACATATGCAAACTAATTAAACAAGATCAGTCCTCCTAGCTATGAAATTAACTATCCAAAATTTTTACATTAATTTTTACCTTAATGTACTTGTATCATTCTTTGAATTCAATATGACAATATCCAAAAAATGGAAATTGCACTAAAGAAATTAATAATTGAATTAATAAAGAGAAATGTAGCAAATGATAGTGATACCTAAAGTTGATTTGTGACATTTGCAATCTCAAGAACTATTTATTTTCGTTATCTTTTGCATTTACTCGCCCTTCATGATCCTCTAGCTTTTTTGATGCTTGAAATAGGACTTTGAATGCTTCAAATGTTGACTGTTCTTCACCATCAAGTGTGAAACAGTTTCACCGTTAAGAGTCACTTGCTCCATGGCTTTTTGATGAGGACACTTTGTCCTTCAACAAACACAGGTCGGAATCCCCCTTGTTCAAAAGCTTCCTCACTACTTCTAAGTGCCCTGCAGCCGTTGCCAGGTAAATTGGGGCAAAGCCATCTTTGTTAAGCTCTTGCGCGAATGAAGGCACCTGATTCATGATCTCTCTCACAAAATCAACATGGCCGGTAAGTGAAGCAACATGAAGTGGTGTTTCTGCTGTGGACGACGAAGACACTCTCCTGAGAATAAGTTTATCCTCATCTTGCAAAGCCTTTAATTTTGCAACATCTCCCATTGTTGCAGCGCTAGCCTCGAACAATTTGAACAATCTTTGATCCATGATTTTCAAAGAAAAACCCTATAATCAGGCTTAAGGCTCTTTGGCAAAATATGATCAAAAGGAGTGCTTGTGATGATTGTATATATGCCCTCCGTTTTCACAGCAGCTAGTCTTTATATGACACCAGCCCAAGCGATTTTTTTTTTTTTGTTTTTTACTCTATCTCCCTTGTAAAGTCGTCTTCATTTTTTTTTTTTCG